CGATCATCCAACTTAGGCCGAGCGCCTCCCCCCCCCCCGCCTCCGAAAACTGAGGGAGCGCGAATCACGTATATATATGTGATTTTGTGCACCCGTGCCACGCTGTAGCAGTATTTCTGCTATAGGGTGTCGTAGAAGCGGTTAAAGGGGCAGCTGCCAATATTATAAAGTATATCAAAGAAGGGGGTTATTCCATGTCTGCACCTTTAATGAATATTCAAATATTGCTCCACCGTTAAGTCCATTTTTCTTCCACCAAACATGGCGAGTCGAGTTAATGCCAAAGATCTAAATTTTGATCTCCTCTGACCACAGCACGTTCTCGCAATCTTTCTTTGAATTATTTCGATGTTCATTGGCAAACTTCAGATGAGCCTATACATGTGTCTTCTTGAGGAAGAAGACCTTGCAGGCACTGCAAGATTTCAATCTGTGGTGGCGTATTGCGTTACCAATGGTTTCTTTGGTGATTGTGGTACCAACTGCCTTGAGATCATTCACAAGCTCCTCCCGTGTAGTTCTGGGCTGATCCCTCCATTTTCTCGTGATCATCCTTACTCCATGAGGCGAAATCTTGCATGGAGCTCCAGACTGAAGGTGATTAATGGTTATTTTGTATTTCTTCCATTTGCAAATAATCATGCCAACAGTGGTCTCCTTCTCACCAAGCTTCTTGCTGATGGTCTTGTAGCCCACTCTAGCCACGTGCAGGTCTACAATCCTGCCCTGATGTCCTTTGACAGCTCTTTGGTCTTGCCCATGATGGTGAGGTTTAAATGGATGAAAGAGATTCTGTGGACAGGTGGCTTTTATACACATAACGAGATGTCATTGAGAGCACCTTCTTAAATTGACAGGACTAATCTGTGTACCACATGAGCACATAGCCAGTGTGTGGGAGCCAGAATTATTGTTGGCTGGTAGGGGATCAAATACTTATTTTACTCACTGAACTGCAACTCTGTAATATTTGCATCATGTGTTTTTGTTCTGTTTTTTTTTTTTTGGCTGATGTTCTGTCTCTATCATTTAGACTGGGTTCAGACTGATGCGGTGCGAAATTCACAGCAGTTTCTGTATGAATTCCGCACCCGTTCGTGTGAACTAGTGCGGGTTTGTATGTTAAGTTAACAACACCCCGAAAACGGTCTGCAAAATGTGGTGCGATGTGCAGAATCGTATCGCATAGGTGTGAATACCCAGGCGATTCGATTCTAGTGCGGACCAAAAAAAGGGTCCTGCGCCTTTTTGCCGCAGATGCATTGCGATTTGAGCCGTACAAAATGTATGTTTCAAATCGCACTGCACAGAATTCAGAGTACAGTTCCTGGGTGAATCACATGCGACATGCCGCACCGCACAAATGTGAACCCAGGCTTAAAATACACCTATGATTTAAAACTATTCACCCTTCATTTCTTTGTAAGTGAGCAAACTTACAAAATCTGCTGGGGGTCAAATAATTATTTTCCCCACTGTATATAAAGTGCACATCCGCTTCCCTGATGATTTGGAACAACTAGCTCAAACTCCAATAAACACTGTTCGCAGACCAAGCCGAGCTGCTAGATGTGATTCTTTGATGTCACTCCATAACCTTGCCCTTACGCTTTGCATCCCTGGAAGGAGACTTCATTAGAGGGTGGGGGAATACTTACATCACCCTGCTATATAGTACCTCTGGCCTCCATGGATACATGTAAACAAATCTCATGATGCCCATACATAATATTCCTTAAGTGCCACTCCTCCATTGTTTCTTATACTATACTAATACTGAATGCTTAATTCTTAAGGCCTTATGCACACAGGGAGTTTTTGCAGCCACTTTTAGGCATCAGGTATTTTTTTTTTCTGCTTCCAAATGGCCCTCTATGTTATCCTATGTGTCCATGCACACATAGACATTTAGAAGCTTTTAGTAGCAGTAGCGTTTACCAACAGGAAAAAAACCCCAGGGCCAGTGCTTGCAGGAGCAGCAGCGTTTTGGCAGAAAAACATTTGATGCGGCTAAACGCATCTAACGCTAGGCCATTTCAATGGGCAGAATAAATGATCATTCTGGCCAATGAAATGAATTAACGCGTGTAAAAGCGTCAGGTACTTTTACAAGCGTCCGGTGTTTTTTCTGCAAAAAACGCTGCTGCAAGGAGGACAGCTTCTAGGAGTTTTTTTTTACGTCCTGTGTGCATGAGGCCTTAACGTCTGAATAACATAATTATCATCACAACTGCAAAGTTTATTTTGCTGCTATATTTAAAAGCAGTATATCCTGCTCAATATAATAAAACCTGAATCTATATAACACCTCACTAAAAATGTTAAAGATGTGTAAACTATAGAGCAAAATACAAGTATAAAAAATCTAAAATACATATCATATACACTATATTGCCAAAAGTTTTGGGACACCCCTCCAAATCATTGGATTCAGGTGTTCCAATCACCTCCATGGCTACAGGTGTATAAAATCAAGCACCTAGGCATGCAGACTTCTTCTACAAACATTGGTGAAAGAATGGGGCGCTCTCAGGTGCTCAGTGAATTCAGGCATTGTACCGTGATAGACTTATTGCACAGGTGGAAACCTCTCCGTGAAATTTCCTTGCTACTAAATATTCCACGGCCAACTGCTGGTGGCATTATAACAAAGTGAAAGCAACTGGGAATAACAGCCACGAAGTGGTAGGCCACGTAAAATGACAGAGCGGGGTCAGCGCATGCTGAAGTGCACAGTGCGCAGAAGTCGACAACTGTCTGCAGAGTCAGTAGCTAAAGATCTCCGAACTTCATGTGGCCTTCAGATAAGCACAACAACAATGCGTAGAGAGCTTCAAAGAATGGGTTTCCATGGCCGAGCAGCTGCATTCAAGCCTTACATCACCAAGTGCAATGCAAAGTGTCAGATGCAGTGGTGTAAAGCACGCCGCCACTGGACTCTAGAGCAGTGGAAACGTGCTCTCTGGTGTGACGAATTATGCTTCTCTGTCTGGAAATCCAATGGACGTGTCTGGGTTTGGCGGTTGCCAGGAGAACGGTACTTGCTTGACTGTATTGTGCAAAGCCAGGCCTTCTCGTCTGACATCCGTTCCTGACCTCACAAATGCGCTTCTGGAAGAATGGTCAAACATTTCCATAGACACAATCCTAAATCTTGTGGGTAGCCTTCCCAGAGAGTTGAAGCTGTTATAGTTGCAAAGGGTGGGCCAACTCAATATTGAACCCTATGGGCTAAGACTGGGATGCCATTATAGTTCATGTGCGTGTAAAGGCAGGTGTCACAATACTCTTGGCAATACAATGTATATCATATATATATGGCTGGAAAAACACAAACCCACTAAATTGCGCAATTTTAATAATTTTAACACACAAAAGGAGAGGTATGATTGGATATTAATCAAATATTACTCAAAAATTTAAATATAGGTTAAAACATAAAAAATAAATCAAGCTAAAACTGAGGATATTGGGCATTACTGATAAAACAATTAATGTCAATTTCAGCATTATGCCCTCTTGGGACCAATAATTGAGTGGTGTAAATCCACTATGACTGCTGCTCACTTAATATGCCCTAAAACATTTCCCTCCTTTCCATTGTTTAGGGACCTTTTCAATGCCCCAGAATTTGAGCCCTTTAGGGTCATGGGCATGTTGGGTCCTAAAATGATAGGATGTTTTTTATATCCTGTTTTAATATAAATATGCTCCCGTAAACACATACTCTTGTTGTCCTCCCTATATACTGGAGGCTGCAAGGGCGCTCCAACATATAGACAGCTTATTCCTATGCTAAAGAGGTGTAAGGAATTCACAGCATCCTCCACTGGCAAAACGCATGTCATTTGTGACTGTTTCTTGCCCTACAGAAGTTGTCTGTAAGTTGGAGTGCTCTTGCACGAGAACTGAGCAATCAATGGTTTTTGAGTGGTCTTGGGTCTGCTGTGAACACAGAATGGCGATGGTCAGTCACCGCTCTGTGTTCTGCCCCTCCAACGTTCACTAGAGCACTGGGCTGTGCAGGGAGCGGGAGTGGCTGGCTCAGGCTCTCAGCAGCACACTGAGGGTCTGAGCCAGCTGCCAGTCAGGCATCTGGGTAGATCCTGACTTTTTTGTTGGGATCCCTGTAGAGCCAAGACTGGCTCTTTGACATCAACTGACAGTGGGCTTTGGCTAAGTGACCCACTGGAAAAGTATGGATAAAAGAGCTAGGTAGCAGACAGCCTTCTCTCTCTGTAAACAACATTACCAAACTCCAGTCCTGTATTCATTCCGCTGCTACCAGCCTGTCCATGGACAGGTCCCTGTGGAACTACATTTCCCAACATTTGTACTGAATTTGAACTAGTATTTCCACTATGGAGAGGAGGCAGCAGGACTTGAATATAATTTTTATTGCTACCCCTGTCACTTTGGGGGTTATTTATTAAAAAATGAAGAATGCTAAATCTGGTGCAGATCTGCATAGAAACCAATCGGCTATCAGGTTTTATTGCCAAAGCTTAATTGAACAAGCTGAAGTTGGAAGCTGATTGGCTACCATGCACAGCCACACCAGATTGAGTGCTCCAATTTTGGCAAATTTTCCCCTGTGTGTCGTTGCTTGTGCGCTGTTACTATTGCTTATTTGTTGTTCTCAGATTGTCACATTTGCCCATTTGTTGCCTGCATATTGCCACCAATTTTAACATTTGTTATCTTGGTATTATCAGTAAAGCCTTTTTTATGGCTCTGTTTTGTCAGATCAGTGCTGTTTGTTAAGAGGATCATATTAATATATAATTTAAGCCCCTGTCACTCCCCAAACCATGGCACTGTTGGTTCCCATATTTGGCTGCAATGCACTATATGCACCACATCAGACAATTGCTTCCATTTCTGCATGGCAGATTAGATACATTTACAGATGAAGGCATTTTGTGATTTTTGTTCCTTTTTTTTTTTGTGAGATTTGAGTGACATGGTTACATATTGAATGTATTATTTATTTTGTTAACTTCTAGAGTGGACAAACTTGGAAAATGTCTGCACTCTACTCTGGAATCCACATAAAACTGAAAAATGCCAAAATCCCATGGGAAGACAAAATAAAACTAGCTCATTTTGCTTGGATTTCTCATCAGTGTTTTCTCCCAAATAAGGAACAGGTAACTACAAATATTACAAAAGAAATCAATAAGCTTTTGTATGTGTATATTCTTGATTTATGCTTTTTGCCACAACTCTTTTTGTATGTAACATTTTTATGCATTTTGGAACAATGCAGTTGTGTTTGTTGTATACTAATCATGTTTGTTTTACACCAGTAATACAGTACTGTGCCAATGGGTTTAGGCAGGTGTGAAACTGTAAGGTGTTCTCTGATTGGTGCCCATGCAAAGCGAGTGACCTCCTATGTTCTCTAAGCATTAGGGCAGCTGCTTGGCACAGGACCCTGTAGACAGCAGAGATAACTGTAGTAGCAGTGGCTAACACAGTAATTTTCAGCTTCCATAGGGATTAGTCAAGTATGGCACTTGCAGAGTTGGTCCCAGCTGCAAAATTAGCCATACTTGGAATTCAGCTTTAATTAAGTACACACAAACACAACATAATCACATTTTCTACTAAATATAAAAGTCAACTGAATAACGAATACCAAATGCAGTCTAAAAATCAGGTGTGCTTGCAAAAATGGTGAGAAACTATGATTTCCAAATAGGTGCCAATAGAAACCAACCGACATTTGGCCCAGGTGTACAGCTGTGAATGGGTATGCTGGAAAACTAGCATCTGATCGACATCTGATCAGTGCTGGCAGCCAATGGCTGTCAGCGCTGACCACTGTGTTCTGGAGATGGGGCAGATCCCCTATCAGAACATAATAGCTCAGTGGGGAGATCGCTGTACTTACATTGGATAGTTAGTGCAGTGAACTCCTCCCGAGCTCTTCAGTTTTTTTTTTTTTTCCTGTTCAGTTGCTGGGTTGAGCGAAAAAATAAACTGATGATATGTACCCAGCATTGCTCAACTTCCCCATTAACTTCAGTCATCTCTTTTACCTTAGAGGGATATTTTTATTTCACTCTCCTTACTCTTTTCATAATACCTTTCAGAATCATGGAGAGTCCGCTATGTCACTCCTCCATCAGATATGATTGTTATTCCCTCCTGCACACAACCTTATAATAAGCATGAGTAGTATATAAAATAGGGCAAAGAAATCAGGGGTGTGGAAATTATTTAAAAAACTACTTGTCCAAGGGACTAATTTAGGGTCCTGATCTACTTGTCCCTCATGACAAACCAAAACCATATTTAAATAAGGTATTTATTGATAGCAGGAAGAGATGATTTTTTTTTTTATTAGGCTGCAGTGCTTTTAGGAATGTCTGGGGCTTTTAAAAATGAAAGGGACTTTATGGTGACTTAAATGTCTGTTTTTAACATTGTGCTGTTTATCTCCTCCTCCCCTCCCTGCCTGTCTCCAGCACCGCACCCAGGGATGGGAGAGACCTTGCGGTGTGACGAGCACTGATTGGGTTCTAGTCAGGAAAGGGGAGTGACATTTCTCTCTCACATGTAAAAATCTGCATTTTTTTTCCTAGAAAATTACTTAGAACCCCCACATGTTTATACAGTGGATATAAAAAGTCTACACACCCCTGTTAAAATCTCTCTCCCTCCCCCCCCCCCCAGTATAAGTGATAAGAGGGGTGTCAGTGTCCCCAATATAGCTGATATAAGAGGTGTCGATAGGTGTCATCATCCCCCTGAATGAGTGATATGTTGAGTCCCCCATATAGGTTTGGAGGGTCGGGGGTCAGTGTCCCCAGTAGAAGTGATGTGAGGTAGGGGTCACCAACCGCTGACGGATATGAGGGCCAGTCCAGGTGTCGGTCCCGCTGGTGGAGTTGAGGCCAGGTTGTCCAGGTGGAGGCATTTCTGTTGGGTGGCGCTATCTCTCCCCTCCTCCTCCTGGTTCTCTTCCATCTCTCGTTGTGCAGTCAGCAGCTCCAGAGTCCGGTCTCATACGGCTCTGATCTCCTATGCCCAGCTAGCACTACACTGCACAATTATTAGGCAAGTGGGTATTTTTACCAAATCAACATGCATATTGTCTAACTCCAAGCTGTATAAACTTGAATGCTTATTGGTGTGTGCATAAATATTAGGCAGCTTCTGGGACAAAAAAGAGATTTAACTGGCTCTGAAAATTCAAAAATTGTAAAAAGTCTTTCAGAGGGATGCAGCACTCTTGAAATTGCTAAAATATTGGGCATGATCACAGAACCATCAAACGTTTTGTTGCAAATCATAAACAGGGTCGCAACAAATAAGTTGAGAAAAAAAGATGCAAATTAATTACCAAAGATTTGAGAAGAATCAAACATGAAGCTACCAGGAACCCATTATTCTCCAGTGCTGTCATATTCCAGAACTGCAACCTACCTGGAGTGCCCAGAAGTACAAGGTGTTCAGTGCTCAGTGACATGGCCAAGGTAAGGAAGGCTGAAACCTGACTACCGCTGCACAAGACACATAAGTTGAAATGTCACGACTGGGACAAGACATCTGAAGACAGTTTTATGTACTGATGAGATGAGAGTGACTCTTGAAAGACCAGATGGATGGGCCTGTGCCTGGATCAGTAGCTGGCACAGAACTCCACTTCGACTCAGACGCCAGTAAAGTAAGGGTGGGGTACTAGTATGGGCTGGTATTATTAAAGATGAGCTAGTTGGACGTTTTCGGGTTGAAGATGGACTCAAAATCAACTCCCAAACCTTCTACTAGTTTTTAGAAAACATTTTCTTCAATCAGTGGTACAGGAAAAAGTCTGCATCTTGCAGGACAATGCTCCATCGGATGCATCCAAGTACTCCACTGAGTGGCTAGCTCAGGGGTGGGCAAACTTTTTGACTTGAGGGCCGCAATGGGTTCATATATTGGACCCGGGGGCCGGACCAAGAGTAGATGAATGATGTGTATGTGTCATCCAAGTAAGTATAGTAATATTCCCCCATAGTAAGCATAGTAATTAATCCCCCATATAGTAATTCATCCCCCATAGTAATTCATCCCCCATAGTAATTCATCCCCCCTATAGTAATTCATCCCCCATATAGTAATTCATTCCCCCTATAGTAATTCATCCCCCATATAGTAATTCATCCCCCATATAGTAATTCATCCCCCATATAGTAATTCATCCCCCATATAGTAATTCATCCCCCATAGTAATTCATCCCCCCATATAGTAATTCACCCCCCATATAGTAATTCACCCCCCATATAGTAATTCATCCCCCATAGTAATTCATCCCCCTATATAGTAATTCATCCCCCATAGTAATTCATCCCCTATATAGTAATTCATCCCCCATATTAAGTCCCCAAGTCCCCCCTGTGTCAATTCACTTACCTTTGCTCCGCGCGTTCCTTTCGCCGTGTTCTCCGGTGTAGCATGAAAATCTGTCTCCTATGAGGATCTGTCCCCCTCGACGTATCTGCGCATGTGCCAGTTTCAGGCATTAGCAGCCGATCGGCGATCTCCGGCACATGCGCAGATACGTCGAGGGGGACAGATCCTCATAGGAGACAGATTTTCATGCTACACCGGTCTTCAGGGCGGACTGTGAGAGGAGCCTAGCTCTGCGGGCCGGATTAAAAGGTCCGCCGGGCCGTAGTTTGCCCATTTGCTGGGCTAGCTAGTAAAGGTCTTAAAGATGAAAGAATAATGTCATGGCTCACCTGACCTAAAACCTTTGAGAACATGTGGGCCTTTCTTAAACAGGAAGTGAAGGAAAACAGTACATCTCTTTAGGCAGTGTCTGGGAGACTATGGTTGCTGCTGCACAAAAAATTAATCGTCAACAGATCAAGAATCTGACAGACTCCATGAATGGAAGGCTTATGACTGTTATTGAAAAGAAGGGTGGCTATATTGGTCACAGACTTTGTTTTTTGTTTTTTTTAAATGCCAGAAATATTTATTTGTAAATTTTGAGTTGTTTGTTTATTATTCTCACTTTAACAAATGAAAATAAACAAGTGAGATGGGAAAATGTTGTTTTTCATTTAGTTGCATAATAATTCTGTACACTAATCGTTACCTAATAATTGTGTACACATATTCTGCTAAGAATGGGAATGACAACACTAAGGTAGAGGAGAATCAGTTTAGAGCCCATTCACACTTGTGCGGCTTGTCATGCAACTTTGGGGTCCAAAATTGCAAGACATGTAGCACTCCATGTTTCTCAATGAGAACCATTCATATCTGCGACTTCAAGTCATTTCTTGCACTGCTTTGGTCCAATTTTAATGCGACTTGAGGGCCATAGACTTCAATGTAAACCCTCCAAAGTCACATGAAAGTCGCACCTGAATGATATATATGCAACTTGTATGCGACTTTGTACAGCACAGATAATCATCCTTAGTCAAAGCCAAAGTCGTACTCATTCAGAGTCGAAAATCACACAAAGTTGCACAAGAGTGAAAGGAGCCTTTCTGCTTCCTCCGCTGTCATGGCAGATGGTGCTCCTTAACGCTCCAGAGGTAGACTGTACCTCAGTGCTTTATTCTTGATGACTTCACGACCATAGACCACTGGAACGTGGGGAAGAAGCTGCAGGGACCTGTCTAGCTGTGGGGAGGAGCAGAGGGATCGGGTGAGTAAACCTTCTTTTTCTTTTTTCTTTTTCCCCTCGACCAAAACAAGCACAGTCAAGCAAGGGAAGCTTTTTGCCTAGAGTTGGGATTTCACATCTTCCAGAAAAAGTGTATTTAAGGAATCTAATTTATTCATGGCATGCATTCTGTCATTCTGTCAGCCTCATTTGATCACTTACTTGGAAAATCACATTTTAAGAGCCAGTCCAAAAACTGAATTAGGTTTGCATACCACCACTTCTGACAATCTTCTGGATTGGTAAGTTTAACCAATGCATACCTAATTCAATTGTTGTTAATAGCATTGTTACATGTTATACTCCTAATGCCAGGTACCAGATTACTTATTCTGCATTCCTTGGCAAACGGACTTTGCCCAGTTGCCACTTACCTTCCTTGGCTGCTGGAGGATTTTTTATCCTAAAAAGCCCTTTCCCTAATTGCTTACGACAGCTTCAAATGTACTTGGACCAGCACCAGTATTATATACATTTTTAAACTGAAACTTTGTAGCAACATACATCACTTTTGTTATCAACCAAGAAAGACCACTTATCAAGAGGTTTTGTTTGAAAGTGTACCATTTATTCTGAGAAGACTGTATCAGGACTTGTTTTTCTGTTTGCTGATATATGTTGGACTTTATGCTGTTTGTTCCAGTGTTATATATGGATGTATAGTATATGTTTTGCAAAAGTTCTGTACTGATATGAAGTCTTTTCACAAATCTCTCCCCAGTGCTGAATGGACATGCCTAGGGACATTTTAGTGTGCTCAACAATGTTATCATGCACTATATCCTATATTATAATAATTGTTACAGGTCTTACTTGACTGGGTCTGCCATGCTTTGGTTGGATTTCATTCCAAGAAACTGAATCTGGAAGGAGATGTTCAGCAGAAGCTCTGGAGTTTTCTGGACAGCATTTTACGTAGTAAAAGGTTGGAATGTGTAGTGAAAGAGGGAAAGTCTGTGAAACTTCGCTTTGCTATTGCACAGGTATGTAAGAGAAAAATTAAGTTGTCACAATGTCTACATTTATTGAATACATAGTGAACTATGCTGGCCAGCAGTACCAATAATCACACAAGAAAAATGTATAGTTACCCACAAGAATTACTCAGCATATGTTTCATTTACTAGTTTATATGGCACTGACGTATTCCTCTAGTAGTTTACAAAGAATGCTGAATAATTCTAACCAGTACGTGCTCTTGACAGAAACAATACAATGTCACTACCACAGTCGGTTACATGCAGTAAGGCAAATTATGCTTAAAGGTATATGTAAACCCTCACCTTGTAAAACAACCCATTCAGTTTAAAATAGAAATTAAAGGCAAAATATTTGTGAATAGATAGAAAAAAAGTATATATATGGGGGGGGGGGGGGGGGGTCGTCAGGAGAATTCTGATCTTTGAAGGACAGCAGGCTGGGTTCACAGCACAACTAGAGAACTGACTACAGTGTGTTTTCCTGCTTAGGTGTGGTTAGTTTTTATTAGGAGAGCAGAGGGACTGACAGGAACACCAGGGATTTCACACACAGGAAGCAATACAAAGAGAACAGGATACATTTTCATACATGTACATGCTACAGAAGGCACATATCAGTTTATGTACTCTTTAATATGCATAGAAAATTAATGTCAAAGCCCTGGGGCTGGATTCACACTTCAGCAAACCCTTGTGGTGCATTAATGTTCATGCACTGTAGCAGATGTGTGAATAGACTCTGATGGTAAATGCATCAAAATGCATGTGAAATATGTGTATTGCCATCCAATAAGACGTACTTTGCAACTCATGTTAATAGCATTTTGATTTTTATATTGATTTTAAAATAATACTTATAAGGGGGTAAACCGCATAGGTGTGAATAGGCCCTTATGAAATGCATTGTTTGACAATGTAACTTTAGTGAGTATTGATATTGGTCCCCCAGCCCTATATAAAACATGAACCCTTTCACTGCCCAGTCCGTATGGCGTATGGACCTACAGCACTGCTTCCAGCTGGACAGCTCTGATAAGCAGATGACAATCTGCTCATCAAAGCTATTCACCTAAAATGTGTCCCCCTTTTCCCCCACCGCTAATTCACTGGGATTCTCCCCTACTGTCACTTACAATTCTTCCTACAATTTTTTCCCTTTCCCACCTCACTAAACTCTGCAGCACTGATTCTCTCTGGATATTGCTGACCCTGACTGCTGCTTCTACCATCATACTTGATGAGCCTACTTAGGATGGTGCAAAAGCAGATACTTCAACCCCCAGGAATATTTTGTTCTGGGCTAGACCGGCAGCTGACGGTTGGTAACCTAAAGTGACAGGTTTTTCTGCCTTATCTATTCTATTTCAGAAACCTTTATAAAAGGAGTTACTCATGGTAATCGCCCACTCCATCCTCCCTTGTCTTCATGGGATCTGAACCTTGTGCTTTTGGTTCTTTAAAACTGCCTTTATTAACTGATTTGGGATATTTTATTGGAGATCTCACAAATAAGGTAGCCTTTACATCAGGCATGTCCCTGAGCTGAGCCTTTCCCTGGCTTGCAAAGGAAAAAGGTCCTGATAACCAAGACCCTCTTTCCTCTTTAAGGTAGCCTCTTTCTTCCACCTGAGGAGATTGTCCTCCCATCCCTATGTCTATCTCCGAAACATGCAGAATAAATTGCACTTAGTTGTGGTCAGAGCGGAGAGTCTGCACACCCAAAATCTCTTCCTTAAAATAAATAGAAAGGACATTCCATGCCAAAAAGGAACATTCCTGCTGCTTCTTTCGCCATTGATAGGTGGCTCAGGTTGCTTGATTTCAGGGCTTACTCCCTCAAGAAACAGGTTCCTTTGTTGCCTATCACGGCCCATTCCACCAGGTTATGTCAGTGTTTTTTTAGGATTTTTAGCATCGAACATCCATTTGAGGTTTGCAAAACCACCATCTGGTCTTCTGTTCATACTTTTTTTAGAGTATTATTGGGTAGATGTTCAGGCCTCTGCTGATGCTAGCTTCAGTCACTAGATACTTCAAGCTGTTATCTACCATGAAGCTGTTGACCTTTCCTTTTGTGGGCCTGTTTTTCTGCTGTTTAATATGATCTTGTCCCCCCTCTAGTTTGTTTGGGGAAGTCCCAAGATCTATGAATTCCTGCCCTTTATTGCAGCAGACCACAACTTCCCCAGCACCAGGGACCGACCTTGTGGAAGACAACACCTCCATGGATCTGGGGGGGTGGTGGGTGTTGGCGGTGCAGCCTGTCACCTCAGGGGGGAAGGGGGAGGTTTGGGCAGCCTGTCACCTGAAGTCAGCTCAGTATTAAGACCCACAGGACATGGTGTTCACTCTCTTATAGTCTGTGGCGGTGTACTGGTCTCACCAGTGCTCCTTATTACAGTCCTGTTCCTGGGCAAGCTCTTCTCCCTCCCTTCCTCCCTCCTCCTCCTACTCCTCCCCCTCCTCCTCTCCCCCTTCTCCTTCTTCTCCCCCTTCTCCTCATCTCTCTTCCTCCTCTTCTCGCATGTCACAGACGGGATCATAGAGAAGGAAGGGAGTAGTAGTGGTGCTGGGAGAAGGGGAGCAGGCGCCCTCTGTTGGTTGGAGGGAGGCAGTGCAGGTTGTGCTGGCTCCTTCACTCACTGCCTACTCCCTGACGTGCAGTTGGACCCCCAGCAGGGAGAGGACCAGCACTGGTCTGCAGCCTGGGGGTTGGGGACCTCTGTTGTACTGTATGATTAACCTCCCTAGCGGTCTAATTATGTCATTATTTTTGTGCTCAAAGCTGTACATTGTTTGCAATGGAAATATGTTGTTTTATATTGTGAATAAATAATAAATAGTGCAGCGCTAAATACTAAACAAACATACATGTAAATAAATATTCAAATCAATATATATCATAAACAAGTGCAACAGTGCAAATAAAGTGTAATACGTGTATTCCACCAGGAAACATCAAAAGTGACCACGTGACAAATACATGAAAATAAATAAATATTCAAATCAATATATAAATGTGCAACAATACAAATAAAGTGTAACACGTGTATTGCACCGGAAGATAAAAGTGACCAAGTGACAAATATTACTCAATAAAGTGCAATCTGTGTATTCCCTATAAGGGAATATTCAAAGTGACCAAGTGACCAAACAAACTATATAACACAAAAATACTCTAAAATATGACACTGTGTAAACATGTCTATATATATATATATATATATATATATATATATATATATATATATATATATATATATATATAGTGTATCTCATACACAATCTTCATGCAAGTGCTGTCAAATGTCCACACTGTGTATATCAAGGTGCGCGAGGAGGATTCTGGGAAGCGCGGGTACGGGTGGGTGACGTCATTTCCGGCGTGGCGGCCATATTTGAAACCCCTATATCTATTACCCATGCAAGGCAGGCATAGCATGAGGTGAAGGAGCCATATATGTGCATGTTATATGAAAGATGAAGGATAATGTGAGTAGATATCTTTTTGTTATAATTTACCCATTAAATGCGTTTTACACTATGGGAGTCTTCTGTTTGTGCATGAACCGGAGAGGAATATAGAGTATACAGCGCTTGAAAAGATCCTGAGATACACCAGAGTGGTGTTTGTCCCTTGAGGCAAGGTGCCCCTGTGAGATCTATGTAAGGAGGAACCGGAGAAGGAGCTGGGTATAAAGCATACATCGCCGGGGAGGATCCTGTGATACACCAGAGTGGTGTTTGTTTCCCAAAGCGAGTTGACCCTGCAGGGTCGATGTAAGGAGGTGAGGGGCCATTGCAGCTAATTGTGGATATACACAGTGTGGACACTTGACAGCACTTGCATGAAGTTTGTGTATGAGATACACTAGATATATATATATATAGACATGTTTACACAGTGTCGTATTTTAGAGTATTTTTTTGTGTTATATAGTTTGTTTGGTCACTTGGTCACTTTGAATATTCCCTTATAGGGAATACACAGATTGCACTTTATTGAGTAATATTTGTCACTTGGTCACTTTTATCTTCCGGTGCAATACACGTGTTACACTTTATTTGTATTGTTGCACATTTTATATATTGATTTGAATATTTATTTATTTTCATGTATTTGTCACGTGGTCACTTTTGATGTTTCCTGGTGGAATACACGTATTACACTTTATTTGCACTATTGCACTTGTTTATGATATATATTGATTTGAATATTTATTTATTTACATGTATGTTTGTTTAGTATTTAGCGCTGCACTATTTATTTATTTATTGATTTGACTCACATTGGTAGGAGGGTAAGTGTCAGCAGCTATAGGGAGAGGGCCCCATTCTGAGCGCAGGAAGTTGTTTCTTAATTTGTTTTATATTGTGGGCCTGTAATTCTTAGGAATACCTCACTGAAATCTGTCTGAACAAGATTCTTGTATAACATCCCAGGTATGATAAAATTTGAAACACGAAATCATAAATTATAATATAATAATAATCATAAAAAATAATAATATAATAATACATTTAATTCAATAATGTAATCAAACCAAAAACACTGAAATTTGAAATGGAGCGCCAAGTTCGCACATCACTGAGCTGAGTTGCAAATCGTTTTCAGTGTCTGATTACGAGTTTCCCCCACAAGTGGTTCTAATTTACTATCGCTGTTCTCTAGCTGGTCTAAAACGCTTTTGACCTAAAGGGACGCTTTTTGGATGCCATGGATGTTTCTCAGTTTCCAGGCAGAAAGAAACGGTAAAAATGCAAGCAGGGCACAGGACAAAGCACTCGGGACAAAATGTATGTGAAATGGTTTGATACAGTAATGTAATACTATCAGATTTTAGTGTATTGAGTGAATGTCAAATTTTAAAATTTTTTAAATTCCCGACGGTTTCGTCCCCCGTACGTCCTGACGCTTGCAGGGAACGGAACCCGGAAGACAGATGCCGGCATCGGCCGGA